TCTGGGCGGCAGTTCGTCTGTTTTATGGCGCCAAAGCTTCGAATCCCAAATCCAGCTGTATCTCGCCAGCTCCCAAGAGGTGAGGATGCGAATCCACTTTACCCACACCCGACGTCCTCATCGGATGATCCCATCCGTTCTGGATGGCCCTGAGTGCTACTTACCTGCTCCAAGTACTTTCCGTCGTCAACGCGAATGAGCCTCTCTCAGTCTGTCGCTTCAAGCTTGAGATCGAGTCAGCTCAATCGGGCCCAGTTTTGGGAGGCTTTAGTAGCTGTTGGGAGTGTGAAGCGAACTAAGACTGCTCAGGGACCCAGCCGACGCACAAACGACGAGATAATAGTACAGAAAAACCATTTAACATGAGGATGTGGATTGTCGCAGTTGCCGATAGAATTGCCTACAAAGCGTGAGTCATTTTGGACAACTCTGCCTCCCTCTGTTCCATTCTTCTTCGGCTTACTTTTTTGAAGGATACCTTCTCTAGGCAAGCCTAGCACCCCGTCGGCAAGTCGCGGACACATGAAGAAGAAACGAGTAATGGCCAGGACAGCCCTGCTGCCGACCCACCGGCCAAGCGACCGACCGACCGACCGACGGACCGACCGACTTGGCCTTAGTGAGTCATGAAAATCATTTCTCACTGTCTTAGCACCAGAATTTCTGACGGAGTGGAGATGGACACGAGAGTCGGCGCTTGGCCCAGGATACAATGTCCCGGTGTGGATGGGCTATCATGCGTGGATGAGGCGGAAAGAGGAGAGGATAATTGCAGGCCCGGCTAGACGAGGAAGCCGGCTCGTCTCGGCTGCTCCAGACAAAGGGCAGTTGGCAGTCAATGTTGTTGTTGGGACGGATGGGGCAAATCGAGGGCCGAAGAATGGGGAGTGGGCATAAGTCGCGTATGACTTTTTCCTGAAATCGGGGCTTGTTTGCCAATCTCCTACTTCATTATGACTGTTCTGACAGACTAAATTGCCTACTATCCGTGAATATAAGTAATATTCTCGATGGCAATAACAAATATAAATTTGCCTCAATTGGGATTTGACAATTCACGTCTGTCCTTTGACCCACTGGTACCCGTAATTGTAGCGCAGTGTTAAATCAAACGAGGCCAAAAATAGGTCCTCCCTACATGAGAATACTTTTTAGGAAAGAAGGCTATGTGAAATTCAATGGAAACGTCAGTTCTACTCATAGTATAGTGGGATAATTCTACTACCAGTCCTTCATCAGCTTAGACGAAATCGGGTGCTCGGACTTCAACTGGAGACATTATTCTCTTTACCCTCTCAAAACGCATTCCTTTATCCCGGTCGAAGAATGTGATTCCTCGTGGGTGTTCCTGCTCCCTTTTGTAGACTAAAGACATGGGAAAGGCTGACGCATGTAGGGAAACGAAGGATTGTAAGCCAAACATCTGGATGGTAGCAATTGCCACGGTGGCCGTAGGTGCAGGTATATTGCCCCCGTGACAGAGCTTACAGGGCGGCAAGTTGCCATGCCGTCAA